TGTGGTGGGGGGGGGGTCTAGAAAATTCAGATTATGTAACAATACAAAGCTGCACTAGCGTTTACGCACACACATATATTGTTGATTCTTGCACTTGAGAATCTTTTACAACTTTAAAGAATAGGCGAGAGTTTCGCAATACATATTTAACAGTATAAGTTATGTACACTTGTAAATATAAATATAATTCAAGCAAACATCGATATTAAGATAAATATATTATAATAAATCCGTCACATCTGTTGTTAAATATTTTGTTAATATCACTAAGGGATATACAATGCCTTTTTGAGGGATTCTCTATTTTAACCCTCGCCTTCATTTTGTAATAGAAAGAATTGATCCTGGTTAGCTTAATGTGTTGTTTCAGTAGACATTGATATTCTAAACACCTTGTTACGCAAATGTTTGGAGATAATTAAATACTTTGAAATTTTGTGGCCCCTACGTGGTCGTATAATTACTTCATTTTATACGGTTTGTTGTTAAATACGGGACAAATGTTTGCCTTTCTCACATAACTAGTTCCAAAAGTCACCTGTTATTTACTGTGAAACAGTAGTTAATTTACGCGTTTCCACTATGTTCAAATGGCCCCGTAATTCTAAAATTACAACAAGAAATAAAGAAAGTCCATAAAATCATAAATAGTCAATTCAGTACCAGTTCTCCTGCCCCAGTAGAGTTAAAACCACAAATAGATAATTCAGTAGGAGACTTTTCCTGCTCCAGTAATTGTTAATTATTCAAAGTGAATATTTTGATGAACTGGGGTGTTTACGAGTGGACTGACGGGTAAGCAAAGAACAACAACAAAAAACAATCAGATGAATAACCATATTAGTAGATACACAGATAGGGATACTGCGGATATAATTAGTTAACACAATAACAGTGTCGAGAAAAATCTAGTTACCAATATCAATGTAGAAACTCGTTTATGCCAGCCACTAGCTGCGCACGCGCTAAATTTGCACATCCAAAACACAAATGGCGTAATATATTTGTTTCAGAAAGTATGAAAAACGGAAATTCAAACTAAGAATAAAACAGTAACAGAGGGACAGGTAAGAGGTTGTAATATTGCGACAACTTAACATTGATAAGCTTACCTTAAGCTGATTTTTACTAAGACTAGACTCGGCTGTAACAATAATAGTGCAGCCCGTCTCACAGGAAGTAGGGCTTCCAAGTAGCGTAATCTTGCCAGAGGCATCAATGCTAAACTTGTCTTTTTCAGGACCTTTAAAAAAATTATGTTATTATTGTAATGTCATCATGTTTTCCTTGAGATTTCATTAAAATAAGCAACACTTTATTTTGTGGTTATTATATTTTATCCGTGTAACTTTCACCTTTGTTTTTATTGATTCTTTCTTTGCACTTAATTATATGAACTTTGCTTATTTAGAGTAATTCATAATGTAAAAGTAGTATTACTTTATGTTTTTATAAGAATAGAGCAAATACATCTGAAAATTGTATGCAATAGTATTATTACATTACAACGTTATTTTGATAAACTGCAATAACTCAGTTTTATTTAAAATTTTAATGAAACAAATCATTACTTATAGACAAATGGAAATTGAAACAGTTCCCTTGCAAAATTGATAATTTTTACAGCTTTATAACGCTAAAAATGTAGGTTCTTTACTCGCGGTGGACACAGCGCTTAATCATAATAACAAGACAAAAAATAGAATTCATTTACCGAACTTGAAAACCTTATAAAGTTTTTACAAAAAAAATACTACACAAACCTGGTGAGTAGAAAGTAACTAATGACAATACAGAGAAGTATAAAAAAGGTAAATGATGAAATAATACACTTACATTACTGAAAGGTTAAACACATACGTCATAAACAATTAATCGTACGATTAAGTTATTGAAACTTTTAAATGATATACTTCCATCACAAAAATGATGCAAATAATATAACCGGTGTGTTGTAATGTATGATTTGTGTAAGAAATCATGTTTTTTTCAACAACTGTATGTTCTGAAAGTGAAAGATGCTACAAAAATTGTACTTCTATAACACAGTCAATTAGACAATTTAGCTATTTTTAAGAACCTTTTTTTAAACAAAGTATTTATTATGTGCGTTAAATGGAAAAGCACGTATATTGAAATATTTTCTATTGTCCAATATGAGATTACTTCAAATACATACAATTTTACGTTTTGTGGTTTCCTTCCCGTGTTAAAGAAGGACAAAAAATATATTTAGTAAAACGTAAAGTAATCAAACTCGTTTACTTCTGTGTAATCAGTCTCCTGCGGCTCTGTTGTAGTTATTCCTTTAACTCGTATGACGAAACTGGATTTTGTCTGGTCAAAGGGTTTAACAAGCTTTACTTGACCACTGTTCTTGTCAATAGAGAAGTACTCAAAGTCTCTTTCACCTGTATAAGAAAAATCATATACAATATACATATATACCACTACAAATTTAATTATTAAAACAATAAAATTCATTAATATTATACGGCTTGACTTATTTCATTTAAATAATGTACATTAATTTTAAAGAAGTGACAACTACTTGAATCGAGACTTCTTCGACTGAACCTGCCTTAGAAACCTTTTTGGACACGATTTGAGTTTCTGATGCAGATCTTCTCCATATCTTTAACAGCTCAAAACGTCACCCCAAAACTTCTAAGGCCTAAACCTTCTCTGCCTAAACTTTCTCTTAGGCAAATGAAAATTAAACAACACACAACGCTACACTGCTTTAAGACAAGTAATATTTGGATTAATTTATAGAATCATAACTGTGTTGTACTTACCTTCTATACTCATTACGACATCGTTGACATTTGTTTCCACCTTGAACACGTTGCTATCCTGTTTTATGGAACCCTCGACCTCCACTTGATGTTTAGCTTTCGCGAACAAAGGTTTCATATACGGCTCACGATCCACGGGTGTGAATACAAACTAAACGACCAAAGCATACAGAACTTCGTGGCATCACATATGTTTCATATGTTTCTTCTGCTTAATTATCTATTAATATCTCAGAATCAACATGATTAGTTTAAACCATGTTTTGTTACAGGTGTAATATTAAAAAGGTGGAATACTCTATCGCTAATTTATTTTATTGGCTTATTACAACATTGAATGTCTACCGTGTACACAAGACAAGCAATCTAAAATAATAATTATGATGATGAAAATTTTGTTCTGGTTAACTTTATGTCTGTGATTAAAAATATATTTTCCAATGTCTTGAATAAAGTATGATGTTCTCGTTCAGAAAAAAAAATGACTATTAATATGTAGAAATTATTGCGAATTATTATTAATATTAGTTTAACAGAGTAATTCACAGTTACACTACAACTGATCATATTATTTGAAAACTAGTTGTCTTTATTTTCTTTTCTATATTACTATTAAAAAACTAGTGATATTAGGCCTAGTAACATCTTTAACTGCATTGTATATATAATGGATTTTGACAAAGATATCGGATGGTGTAATTCGTTGTAGGAGCACTTCATACCCCAGCGGTTATTACGACACATGCATACAAAAATAGCTTCTTTCGTTCTGGCATATACATATATCCGACATTACCCCGAAGTACTATAATTTGCTCAGCTATTTTTAGAGTACCCACCTCTTTAACATGCAATCAGGTTATGTGTAACCTGAATGAAAGCACGACAGTTACATAGCTTTATAAACAGCGCCACCTCATCACTGTATCGTTCAGCAAATTCAAATAGTCACATCAAATAGCCTTGTAATCGTCCAGCGCCATGATGACAATTTCTGTTTTCTTGACAGTCCTACCCTCGTAAACATTTAATTTGTTTCTGTACTTCTATTCTCATACAAAATAGTAGAACCAGAAAAACAATTCAAATAAACCTCAATCAACAGAGAGATAGTACATTTATTAATCGTTAAACGGTTAGTTAGCAATGACAAACGACAGCCATTATGCTTTACCGAATAATTTATCAGGATACAGAGGTCTAAGATATAAAATTTAAAGGAAGATTCAGTGAAGAAAACACTAAATCTGTTAATTTGTGTGACAAAATTATAAAAACAAAGACATCAAATAAAAGTGTGAACACAGTTTGCTTTAATCAAGAAATTGGAGTAGGTTAGCATGCTTGGTTGCGTACAAAAGGTTCAAGGCTTGAACTGAGGTATGTCGGTAAATCCGCACTACATTTCAATGGTAGGGTCATTATAGCTGCAGCAATTAGTTCCGTTGTTCATTTAATATCCGCATAGTCAGAGAGCGCCACTGGCTGGTGCTCTTTCTCTGATCAACATATTGATGCATATTCCCGAGCCTATAGGTTTTCATATTTTCTGCTTTAAAGGGGCTCTGTTTAGGCGAACTGGTCACTAACATTTAGAGTTTCATTTATCTCTATGAAAATGTAAATATAGGAAAAAATAAAATTCGTAAAAGTTGATAAATTTCACTACAAACAATTACAGAAACTACGTTAAAGTAAAATCGTTTCGAAGGTAACTTCATCTACCGTTTCAGTTGTTTTACACTAATAATATTATGCATTATAATTATACACTAGTGAACTGTTTGTGCGACCTTTTAATTTGACACATTATTAGTTTTCTCCTAATTATATTCAGTCAGTTCACTTTATCCAGTAATTCAACATGTTCTCTGACAAAATCTTCCCTCCATACCACCTAATTTACGCTTACAAGTTAGAAATAAATAAAATTTCATTATTTTACGGTTACATGATTTTAATATACTGTTACGACAGCGGAAGTCACGTGACGCTGGTAACACGTAATGAGTTCTAGAAAGATCGGGGAACATCACGAATAATCCAGTATTTCCTAGGCGCCCTCTATTCTTGTATATAAGTGCGCCAGACAATTATTTGGAATTGAATTGCAGACTGGCAGAAATAGAGACGGACAATTGAGTTAAGCGCGGTAGAAGTAAAGTGCGTGAATCGTTCGTTGTGAATTATAGCGTGTGTTTAAGTTAAACTGATTGTGGAAATTAAGTGTATTGCAAAGTTGTATTGAGAAAGAATAAACTAGTTTTATATAAGAAAGGACTTGTATCGCTGAAGTTTTTAAGAAGGAATTTTTACGGGAAATTAACAGATGACCAGAGACGTAACAATGCAAACTGGCTACTATGTTGAGTCAAGCAAAAGCACCGACAAGGACTATGTCCATGTGTAACAAACACACTGCTAGCCTTAATGGTTTATAGAAATGTCTCTAAAATTATCTACAAATCTGCGAAGAAAATTGTTTGATTTTCATCAATCCTTGACAAAAATTACGAATACACAAGATTGTAATGTTAGGCTTGAATCCAATGAACCTAAAAATGTATGCTTATGTATAGACTAGTATTAGCACAACAAAAAAATTAATACAACAGATTTTTGGCTTTGAATAGCATGAGCTGTGTTTGGTAGTTTGATTTACCCCTGTTAAAGGAAAATAGTTTAAACGTATCAGAACTACTTCTAATAACGGATCTATGCATCATGCGTTATTTTCTGATTAGACTGTGGTAGGGTAAGCCTTACCAATAATAATGTCAGTAGTTGAAGCAGTAAACTAATATAACTAATTGCACTACACATATCTAATAGAAAGTTTACTTCTACTGTGATAAATGTTTATTTTAACGTTTTTTCAGCATTAATTTTCTGTCAGTTTGCTTTAGTCTCTACAATAAGTTCGTCATATTTGAAGTAAAGTGAAATTACATATACTGATTAGGCCTAAACTATACAAAAGTATTAGAACGTACTCAAAACACAGAAAGTAAAATTCTCACGTGACATGGTGAAACTGTGGATGGCTGGCATTATGTTGCCATTTTACGTGATTAAATACAAATAATCAACTAAAATAATCATATTTTTCATGATTTAGATACTTATTACTGGAAAACTTAATATATGCAGGAAGCTAACTATAAGATATTTTAGTACCAGTATTTTCTTGTTAAGCGCACACTATATTCAAATACAAAATATTGACCCGTTCTATAACTGTGGCAAAAATATATTGCTCAAGTGGCCAGTTTATAAATGCTTTAGTAAAACTGTTCTAATTGCAAATTGTCTCTATTTGAAAGATAGTATAGTGCAACTTGAAGTTATTTTAAAAAAGTGGACCAAATGTTTCGAAGTATTTTACCCCCATCAGTTACAAAAGAAGATCGTTTACACTATTTTTTTTTTGGGGGGGAGCCTTTATTAAGTTCGGCATAATACTACTGAAGTCCGTGTTTCTCCCTGTGAACTTTCTCTGCTATTTATCAATGACTCTGTAACGATGTTCGAGTAAGATTAAACTGCTAGGAAAACTAGCTACGTCAGTATTACCCCAGTCTTTGTATACTATTACCATTACCAACACAACTTTCAAGCGTAATAAGTTTAACCAAACGAAAGACTCAAAAGTCTACTGAGGTCCATTGGAAGCCTTAACATGTGCATGGGTGATCGAAACGCAATAATTAAAGTTTTGTTTCTCGTATTTTTCATGAAACAACCAATGTTTAGGGAGTGGCCAGAAGCTAGTGAACTTCTTTGCTCAGTAAATCTTGGGCAATTTCAAACTGTGTTACGTATTAGTACTATTACAATTTCGAAAGTTCTGAAACTGAGTTAACTGATAATTTAAACTATAATTTAGGTTTAGTAGTTAAAATTATGCCAATATGTATCCAATTTATGATATTTGCCAACAAGATTGATACACACAGTTTCTTTTGTAACACAAATGTTTAAATATATAAACAACGGTACAATTTAC